CAGTGTAACTAAATCAATGGAATCAGAACAGAAAATTAGCAAAAATGCAAAGCAATTAAGCAAACAGATTATATACTACTTTTGTTACTTAGTGCTAGAATCTCAGAGAAAAAAAAATATAGTAAAACGAAGAGAACCCTGGAGAGGAAGAGAGTACCTAGTAACGGCATGGGAGCTCATTCAGCCGAGAATCGGAAATGGTCTGAGACTTTTGTTATCTCCGCGACAACGCTACAATATCCGATGCGAGCATTCCAGTGTAACCAACGACAATGCTTCTCTCTCTTTAGGCTGCCGGAAAAATGTGGCTGACGGAGAACTGGAGTTCACTTATATCGAGGAAGAATAGAGTTCGAGAATCGGAGGTGAAAAAATGAATGTGATGAAGCAGAGAGAACCACACAGCGAGGAAGCGATACCATGTCCGAATTTGGCGGCGCTCAATTCCGGATAACGAATTTAACTGGGCTATTTTGGCCCACAAAAAAGTTGGGCCAAATCATGGGCCTCAGGTTTTTTTTTTCATTTTTACTAGTTTTTTTTCTAGTTCTGGATAGCAATAGAGGATAAGACATAAGAGAACAAAATGATTATACTCACCTTTAATTTTGTTAAAATCATTAAAAAAATTAAAATTTTATCTTAATTTATTTTTTTAAATTAATAATTAATAAAATAATTAATTTTTACTATTGAATATATTAAAATTAGTTTATAAACAAATATTTTTAAAAAACAATATTATAATTATAATATTACGTGATATTATAAACTTATAATCATATCTAAATATTATAGCTAACTGTTTAAAAAAATTATAAAATGATAAAATTACAATTAAAATTGGTAATTTTAACAAGAAAATCATTTATGACCATAACCTTAGCCTTTTTTTATTTTTGGTACATTTTGCTGCATCATGCAGAAAGAAAGCGAGATTATAAATTTATAAATGGAAAAAAAATTTATATAATTTTACATATTATTTGAATGATTAATTATTTTTATTTATTTAAAATTATTAATATTAAGTACATCTATTCATTTAATAACATATAAAAATTATATAAAATTTTATATAAAAAAATTGTCTCCATATTACTTCCCTTTATAAAATAAGTCTTTTCACATCAGACAGACGTACCAAAAATTTTAAAACAAAGAAAGGGAGATTGTCAATTTGGAGAATGATATAAAAATAATTTTTTATATTATATTTTTATATAATTTTTATATATTATTAAATAAATAAATATATTTAATATTATAAATTTCAAATAAATAAAAATAACTAATCATTTAAATAACACGTAAATTTATATTAAAAAATAATACAAAAAATTTATACCTAAATTACTTTTCTATCAATTTTAAGCCGTGTCCCCAAATTTCAACTCATTACATAGAAATGTAAGGACATATTCACATTTTAAAGAAAAGTTAAAAAAAAAAAAAAGAAGAAAATTTCTTTAAATTATCTATTAAGGTAAATAACATATTATTTAATATGTTAACTTTTTATTAAAAATATATTTAAGTAACAAATATATTTTTAACATATAATGATATCACGTATTAAATAATAAATAATTTATTTTAATTAATAATTTTAAAAAATAATTTATTCATTTTTTTTTCAAACTCAAATCTGTCTCTATCCTATATATATAGAGATATTTAGAGATTCTGCCTAAATTTTTAATCTCACCTCCTTGTCAAAAATATTCTTCTTTCTCCTCCCTTCATTCCTTTCACACCAGACAAACCAGAAATGATGCAATAGACATGAATGTTAGTGGAGAGCCAAGACAGGTCCTCCTCTGATTAAAAAAGAATGTGTATGTG